TACACCCACTTGTTGTGGATCACGTGCGCATTCTTGGGTGGTGTAACGACCATCCAGACATCGTTCGCCTTCAACGCGTCCAGTTCTTCGGTAATGGCGATCTTCCACTCTTGATGATGCTTGCTCTTGATCGCTTCTCCGTAGTTCTTGGGGTCTTGTGCTATAATAGCATTGACGACGCCCCTGGATCCAGATGTATCTCCGCTTAACACCTCTTCAATTTTACTTTTGCTCGTTGATCTTGTACCATGGCGCTCCCTCGTCCATTCGGGCTTGCGATTCTTGTAATGCTTCACAGTACGTTGCTTGCCGCGACATCGTACCTGAGTTTTATGTTGATCGACCATCGTCAACTCCTCCTGACGGCAAATTTCATCTTGATCCGATATAAGGTGATTATCGGTTTTCAACGACTCAATATTTTGAATATGTTGAGTCACCAAGACCACCTTGTCCTTGGGGATGTATACCTTGTACCCCTTCGTCTCATCGCTCTTTCCGATGATGATGGCTGTCCTTCCACGCTCTCCTAGCGACTTGTTTCTCGCGTTGAAAGGAACAGTGCAAAACGAGCCGAAATTCACGATGTCTGTGAACTTGGGGACCTTTTTCGTTAAGAGCTCCATCGAGGATACTCCACCTAAGTTCGACTTGGTCCTGCTTCGATTTAAGATGTACGTCGCGTACTCCGCTGCATCCCCCCAGAACGATAAAGGTAGATTCGAGGCGAATACCATGCTTCGTACCATATTCATAATGGTACGATGCATGCGTTCAGCCTTGCCGTTGCTTGCTTGGTTCCTGGCTTTGCTGATTTGGCGCAAGACTCCCGTTGCCTTGCAAAATACGTCCAGAGTCTTGTAACCCCGTCTCCATCAGTGCGTAGCACATGAATTTTAAGGTTGAATTCGCGTTCAAATTGCACGAGGAAGTATTTGATTTTGAGTGCAGCAGCGTCCAAAGTCTTGGCCAGGAACACGCGGCAAAAGTTGGACCGGTGATCGATGAAGTTGGCTAGATACCGGTTGCCCAGACGATCTCTTGGGGTCATCGGTCCTTTCAGATCACTGCATATTACCCCACCGTTGACATCGATGGGTGAAATCATGCCAGTATCCACCTTCGATTGCGCTTGTTTGGTCTGCTTGCCTTGAGCATACGCCAAAACAATTCATGCGTCTTGTGTCAGTCAGCTTGATGCATGATGCGGGGTCCTTGGCCATCTTGATTAGCGTATCAAAACAAAGGTGGCCAAGCCGGCGATGGAAGTGCATCAAGGTACCACGCTGAACATCCAAATCGCATTCATATTCAGGTGAATTGATCGCTGTTACCATAACTTCCTTTGACATACCTATGACTTTCGCACGGTGACCTAACACCTTCACAACCAACACGTTGTTTGTGCGGTCAAAATACATGATTGGTGCGCCCTTCAACCCGGAGGTCAACACACGCCCCCTCCTCGATATTCGAGTACGCATCCTTTCTCCTCGAGCTTCTCATAGTATATGATGTTTCGCTCGAGGTTTGCAGTGTACTGAACGTCGAGGAGCCTTATCTTTTTCATGACCCCTAGCGCGACAAACTTGATTTCAACGCTTCCCTGCTTGGTCACTTGTAGCACACATCCGTCAAAGGCTGCAGTCAAGCATTCACCCCGACAGTCTTCGGGGATGATCAGTAGACTTAGGTCGTTGACCAAGTGTATGCTGGACCCACTGTCGAGGATCCAGTGGTCCTCATGGAGGTCACCACTTTCCCAATCGCGAAGGTGAAGTCAGCACCTGCACCCTTCTTCCGTGCCTGCGGACACTTGGACATTATGTGTCCAACTTCTCCGCATTTGTAGCACACGCGTTGGTCGCTCAAATCAGCGTTCCTTCTTGGCCTTTACGTAACCCTCTCTTTTGTCTCCTTTCGAGTCTCGACAGCGTTCACCACATCTCGACCCAAGTTCTTCACATGCGACTCAATCTCGACTTGTTGTGCGAACTGAGCCAACTCTTCGGCTTGTCGTAGGGAGTCGGATCGGTGGATGCCCAACCTCGACAACATAGTCATCCTCATGTTTGGGTCCGCATAGTTAACAATGCCTTGAAGTACTAGGTTGTCCATACATCCGCATGCATCGCTCACGGCCGTCAGATACAGGTAATGGTCCATCCAACTTCTATGTGCTTCCTTCGGTGCCGTGAAGAGTTTCATGCTCTGTGCGGGTGAGATCTTCGTGCTGAAAGTTTGCATCATACTATTCAAGGCGTGGTCCAGAATCTGGTTTTTTAACCCACCATGGCTCGACCTGCCGACGGTAGTAAATCTGGGCCTTGCCTCCAAGGTGTTGGCCCAGCACGTCGACCTTGATGTCCTCGGCCCATGCAAATCCGCATGCACGTTCCGCGAACCCAACTTGCCGGACAAATTCCTTGCCCATCCAATGAACCCACTACCAAGTCCCTGGTAGAGTTCCTTGCCGTCAAATGGTTGAAGTGCGAGTTTTCGCTCCCTCGCATCCGGCATCCCGTATACTTGGGGTTTTTCGCCAACAAAAAACCTGTCCGGCATACCCACATCAAAGTATGCATTCGGAGGTGCCTCTTGCCTGGGGCGAGCCGGTTCAGGTAACGCACCCATCCTGGCTTCCACGCCACCGTAGCCACCACGATGTGTTTCGTCGTTCCCTAAATCTTGACGCCGTCCACCAAGGTCGGCTGGAGACATCTTCCGGGGAGGTGCTTCCTCCAAGGCCTGCAGGGTCATCCCCGCTCCTAGGACTGAACCAAAAAGAGACTTGGAAGGTTCATTGACGTTCTTGCACGCATGCTCTTTCTGTGACGACTCCAAGCAATTTAAACGTTCGCTGATGTCCCCGAACATCCCCATCATCTTGTCCATCGCCCCCATGGGCGCTGCCGACTTTTCTTCAAATTGTTCCTCGGCGGTCTTGTTAAAACTGTCGGTAACTTTGGTCGGTTTGGCTTGTGCAGCCGCACCGGCCTCGCGTTGGAACTTTGTTGCACTTGTGTGCGAAGAGGTAGAAGTAGAAGTGAATATATTAGAATGTTATCTTCGCTCGCTAACACTGCAATATAACATGCACTGCAACTTGAACATAACATGATTGCGTCCGTCTCTCCTCTTATCTTGTCAGTCGTCGCCATGTCGCCCAACAGGTCATGTCGCTGCCTCGTCCCGCCACCTGTTCGGCACCGTCTTATCAAAACACCTGTTACGACTTCTGTCACAGTCGTCGCCTTGTCTCACCATCTGTCACCGTCGTCGCCTCGCCTCACCATCTGTCAAGTCGTTTGTGGACTCGACCAATCAGGTGTCACTGTCACATGGTATAGCAGTTGAACCTGCAACACAACATTGACTGACAAGACGTTTCTAAACAGGCATTTCTAACAGTAGAGACCACATTAGCAGGGAGGGACCAAGACGTATTGTCGTAGTAGAAAATTAAAGGAAATGTTACTAAAATTCGTGCAAGGCTTTAACGACATCGATCTTTTGGAAGCGCTTCGGGCGTGTAACAAAAGCTCAATAGATTGATCGCGCTATACCAGTAATAATTTTGTTGCACCAGGCACCTCTTCCCGCTCGCGGCATTGAATGGCATCGCTGTAATGGTCATCTGGTACTTTAGGTGCCATTTCTGCTGGCTTTGTTTCACGTTAAATGTCGGCTGTGCTCATGGGATGGTCTTTTACGGCATAATAAGCGAGTAACAACGAGGTGCTGCAGCTAGACACTTTCAAGGCGAGACCTCAAACTACTTCTAAAGGGTATCGTGCTTATTACCGGCACGTGCTGCAAATGGACGTATAAAATTGCTGACTGTGATGCAACATGGACTCTGCTGCCACGCATCACCCAGCAAGATTGCAGTGTCGGTAGACAGCAACCATGTCGGGCTTGGGCGTGCTTGAACTACGCAAGAACTGTAATGGGGCACCCTCCGACTATATTGATTACAGTATAGTCTACTTTCACTGATAGCAGTGAAAGCAGGTGCCTCAAAACCTCACGTACACGTGAGCAGAGGAAGCTTATCAACTAAACAAACGCTTCGTTGAGAAGAAAAAGGAAACTGTATTTAATATAGTTAACTATCTAATAAAACTAATCTGTTATAACCTATGTTAACTATATTAAACTACAACTATGTATGTTGACAGCTTGCCCTCCACTCATTGCGCGCGTCCATCGGCCATTGGTCAGCGCGTTGGTTGATATGATGGCCCATATCAACCAATGAGAGGGCATCTCCAACTTCAAGGAGATCTAGGAACAATATTATAAGAAAAGGTAATATTGTCAAAATATTATTAGTTATAATAATATTTTTATTGACACTTCATATAAGTGTCAATATTATGTAACGGGCTCACCCCGTTACAAGAACCCTTTGGACCAGGGGCGCACAGACTTTGAAGTCGTCGCAGACTTTATTTTGAGCCCAGCTACACCGCGTTACAGCGCACCTTTCAACCCTGAACGTGTGCATGGGCTCCTGGCATTCTTTTGCGACACTGTTTGCATGTGTGCATGCTATCACAATAATGGGCGATTTTTACGACTCGTTCATCAAAGGTCAGCCGTGCCCAACACAGCGATATAAAAACTCATAAAGCAATTGCAGCAGTTCCTCACAATGCTTCACTGCAACGAAAGGAAGATAAATCTGCAGCAAGTAACCAACTATATCGTGCATATATGAAGAATACCGTCATGCCTCATCTTGTAAGTAAAGGTCTGAGTAAGAAGCAGAAAATGCCACGCCAAATGAACGACAGCCAAATTCCTAGCAACCCGTTCTCAGCCTCCGCTTGACCCGGGTCGACAACCTACCTATGCTTTGTTGTTCCGGCTTCTCTTGTTTCTGTCTCGATAGCATCTCGGTTCCTCGGCGCCACCTTCCGTTTTTCAATGCTCACCGCTCTTGTGTTGCTCACATCATTCACAGCTACGCCCTCGTTCGCAATTCAACTTTTAGCCTACAGGAAGTAGTCGGGTGTGCGCTTCTTCTCGTTAAAGTTGCTGTCACGTGGAGCGGGGTCGAACTGGATAAACTTGCACGTCTCGTATACCTTATCTCCACTACGATCAGCCATGACTTCATCAATCTCCATGAGCGCTGCCTGGTTGCCACAACGGTAGCAGTAATTAGGAGCACTGAAGATCGTGACGACACCACGGTTGTGGGTCCATTGGTATCCTTCCATGACCAATTGATGGGCACGCGCAATGAACGTGAGTCCATTACTGCGTTTGAATTGCTCCGTAATGTCCTGGCCAAACGTGTAGCCAGCGCCACGAGGCGAGATGCCCCACCCACAACGATCGTCCGGGTCAGACCACACCAAGTCACACATGGGACCCTCATGTGGCACCTCCTGCACACGATCCAATGCACGTGCATGGTCCAATGTGTCAATAGACGGCGATAGTCCACCGTGCATACAAAAGACACGATTTTCAATAAGTGCCGTCATTGGCAAATGATCAAACAGGTCGGTAAAGTACTTCCACACGTTAGCATTGCCATACTTACGTAAACATTCGTCATAAAAACCATACACTTGCGTAATCTGGCGACTTTCGTGGTTACCACGTAAAATAGTAATGCGTTCACGATGACGCACCTTAAGTGCCACCAATAGTGCCACACTCTCTAAAGAGTAGTACCCACGGTCTACGTAATCACCCATAAACAGGTAATTGGTATCCGGACAAGCACCACCTATCCGGAAAAGCTCCAAGAGGTCATAGAATTGGCCATGGATGTCACCACAGACTGTCACGGGACACTTGACAGGCTGTACATTGGACTCGCCTGTCAATATTTCTTTAGCTTTTTGACAGAGTTCATATATCTCTGTCTCTGTCAAGTTCTCAGCACGACGCAGACGATCGATCTGTGCATCGAGCGACTTCATTTCCCCGCGTGAGTCCATTCTTGATAGTAAAGTTAAGCTTATTCTTGGTGGGGAACACTCGACTATCTCCCCCTCCCCCTCTTTCTGGCGTTTGAGATCGGTAGACTGTTGTAATTAATATTATATGAATGGTTACATAATTTATTTTGACAGGATGTTTAGACGCATTGTTACAACTTGCGTAAAATAGTAAATTGACAGGAGGTGCTTTTTATATATGAAACTAGGCAGACAGCTCGACTCGATCTAAGAATCACGGTATGATTGACATGACATTGTCATATTGAGACATCAATATGTGCTTTATTTTATCGAATCTCGTTTTAATGGAATATTGTTCCTAGCGGAAAAGTGCAATGTTGCGCAGTCTGTTTTGCACTTGAGCGCAGACATCAACCTTTGCTTTGTTAGGTGCATTGCAAATGGCATTGAATATTGCATTGGTTCAGTCATGTGGCTAACGTTGCAATGCTTGTTCCCATCCGCAACTTTACATTTCCAGAAAGACGATTAGGTAAAGTAACTTCTAAGCCGAATCAGGTCTGTTATGGGATTATAATTCGTACTCATCGATGAGTATTATTTCGACGAAGTAGCCAATATTATTATTGACACATCACTGGTACTTGTTATTTTAGGTACACTGTACCAGCACCTTGTAAATAAAGTAAAAGTAGTCCGAATCAAAGCACCTAGTATATAATTATGCGATATAGTATTTTGCAAAGAAGAAATTATTTGTTTCATATTATTATTTTATTATAATAAATAAATTGCTGTATTTTATTTACATGTATTTCCGAACTAGCGATCAATTTCACCAAATACTACATCTTAAGTACTTATGATTTAAATACTCTCATAAGAATCTGTTTAGTTCTATTCTTGATTAAATTCTGTATAATTAGATGGTTTTTTCTAGAGTTAAGTAAACTTAAAGGTGAATTTTTATCTTAACATGGGTTTGAAGATAATACTACTGGAACGATAAATTCTTCCTTAGACTCGAATAGCGCGAGTTCAAGGAAGTACTCCGAGATCTATATTGGATTCAATTGCGCGAAAGAGATCTCCTACTCTATACAAATTCTCTTCACGTATATTCGAAGTAGATCTTATTGAGAGATCATGTAAATAATATTTTTACTTTTTCTATATGTAATTTCTCCTTCACGGAGATAAACTTCGAGAAGAACGAAGGCCAGTTCATTGTTCATCACAAGAAGCTGATCGAGGTCGGGGTTGCTACAGAACTCGGTCGCCATCGGCGTGTGCGTGCTGTGGAGTGCATGCATGGGGCCTTTAATTGTGATAAAGACTTTTAGACTCCAAATATCACTCTCGCGAGTGACATTCCTCTCGAGAGTGATATTTTAACCCAAGCGGTTTTTGAGCACCAAGAATTTTACTCATTCTCTATATTACACTCATTTACAAGTAACATTTTTGTTGGTTAGATTCTAGTTGAAAAACCTGGTACTTGTTCGTAGTGGTAATTGCTATTGTTTGCATCGCTATTGGAACTCTCCAAAAAATGGCGTGGTGACGGCACTGGTTCATCGTCTGAGTCATATCGCAAAGGATCTTGAAAGAGATCACCCCCATGCGTCCATCGCGGGCGCTCGGTTTCTCGCTCATAATCACCTGGGCCTTTTGTCCGAGTTCCATACGAGTTGTAGGCACTTGTGCCAAGTGGGCTTGCCGTTAGCTGCTTGCCCTCACCAGTATTAATAATGTGGAAAATGCCGTAGTCAGGCAACTTTTGTGACGCAGGTCCATGCTTTGGAGCTACAACAAACACAGATCACTATTAATGTCCGGTCAAAGTCATTGATCTATCACCACTCCTTACCTCCTACACCACCGGCCTTTGACGAGATCAAACAGAGCAACAAAATGGTGGGTAAAAACTCCCAGAAGCAGAAGAATACAAAGTAGTCGACTGTCGTCACGCGGCCATTCATGTCGAAGTTGTTCCTGATGCTGAGGAACCAACTTTGAGACGTAGCCACATCCCGAATCCCTCTTGTAAAGAAAATCAGGCATAGCAGCGAGTTGATCACCGCCAAGCTCTGCACAAATTCAGTCGCCACACCATTGTCGTTAAACTCCCCACTAATTCGATGCACAACGCTTCTCCGCGTACCCGTGGCCTTGATAAGAGTAGTCTTCTTCGCTTCCAGCTTTCTACCTGCATACAAGAAACAATCTCCGTCAGACAGACAGCGTTTTTCAACAACCTTTCGGCTTGAAAACGTCACCTTACATTAGCCATTTTCCAACCAAAGAAACCAAAGAGTATACTGAGCAGGAAAAACGAAAAGGCAGAGTACTTGAGCTGTACGCACACATCAGAAACTCTAGAGAATGCTTGGTCGTACTCGTCTCCACGTTGCGCAACCTTGGAAATATCATTGGACGAGTTAAAAGCCCAGACGACCGTGAATGTAGCCATAGTCATAGTCAGTAACAGATAAAGTGGCAGACAAACATTGCGCCACCTGGAGCGCCACTCTGGACCCGTAAGCACTTGGATGTAGAATAGGATAAGCAGCGAAAAGTTGGCGAACTGGATAGGAGTGGGCGACCAATAAAGCAGGTAGAGCGTCAGGTACCGCATATTTGATTGCGTCGACATAATGATCCAATATGCGGCACGTACGCCCGTCCATAGTAGACACAGTAGGTAAAAACCAGTAGACCAGGCCAATAACTTGTTCTTATTGCGTAGAGCTACCAGTAGCCTCGTTAGGAGGAATAGAGCCAGTAGTAGACACATTGCAGTGAGCAACAAAGTGTATAATGTAGGTTCATATGTACTGCTATTAGCGACCATGGACGATAGAGATTAAACACACGCTTAGCAGCCTCTAAGTGAAGCAGCAGTTGACGCAGTCTTGAAGAGACCAAGATTTGTTTTAATTTCTTTACCCTAACCATTTTGAACTTAACTTACGACTATATCACTGTATACAAATTACAGAAAACTCGTAATTTCTTAAGATACATTCTGCTATTGTATTTAGATCCTTATTTTAATAAATTATATTAATTCTAACACCTTATATCGAGCAGTTCTTCCTGGGCTTGAGCACGTTAATATGAGATCTTGCTGGGACGCAAGACGGCACGAGCGCGATATTGAGACCTGCATGAAGACCATTGTGCGAGTTCTGAAATCAATATCACCTCGTAGCCCCGCACTTCGACAAAACTATTTCACATGATCCCGCGTCAGCATCTTACTGAAATTGTAGATCTACGTCAGCTTCTGAAACAAACTTGAGCGAGCCCTTTGTCTTGCATTACAATCATTGAACACTTTCACGCAGGAAGAGGTTCTGCCAGAAACGATTTACATACTCGCTGTTAGAAGTTATCACTTCCTACAGGCTGTCAATGTCAAGCTTTTAACCGTCAACTACTAGACCTGTTACAGGTAAGGTTCAACGTAACCTGATTGTTTGTAATTGTGAGAATGTGACAGTTGGAACGAAGAGAGACGGACGCCACATGGAACAACCAAGATGCCATGAGGATGGGACCGGGAGAGGCGGTCGACATGTGGGACCAGCATATGAGACGTGCGCACTGGACGCACGCCATCTGCAACTTGACCTGGTCAAGTTGCACTGCAGGAAGATCACATGGTGTATGGAGTGAACCAACGAAGTGAACACTCAATATATTTCACTTTTTGCTTTCTAATACCTTTGCACGAGTGCAACTAAGAACAGAACTTTCTAGCATGTTATGAGCCCAAAGAAACGTTTTGACGGCGCAGCCCAAGAGGGCAAACCCGCTGTGGCTCTAAACGGTCATGTTGCGGCCGGAGACAACCAATTGGAAGAAAATTTTGCAGTTTTCGAGGCGGCGCTGGACAAGGTTTATCGCCATGCTTGGTGATTTGTCGGAACGGATTTGCATATCGTAATCCACGCAAGCCGGACAAGTCAACTGCTAAAGAAAGGACTCCGAGGAGTCAAGCGATTTTGATTCGGTTTTGGGTTGGAGGGCAGGTATAACCCACCAGGCATTGGAGCATACCCCTCCCGGATCAATAAAAAGAATTGATTGATAATATGTTATTACAAGGTTGAACCTTTACCAAATGTCTCGCCATCTACCTACCTTGGTGCTCGACGACCAGCGTTTGCTGGAAACCACATGGTTGACACGCCGGGTCAAGCCAATGTCAACTATGGAATGGATCAGAGAGCTGAGCCCGGTTTTCCAAGGTAGGCTGCACCTGCAGGGCCGTATTCAGGCATGGATATGCCGGGTCCGACATTTCGCCAACCTGGACAGAAAAAGGTAGGCGTACCGGATGCTTGACAATGCTCATTGGCACTGCAACTATTCGACGAAAAGTAACTTTACCATGGCCTTGGCAGCGGGTTCCTTGAACGGGGCAAGGAGTTTGTGCGTCAAATAAATTTTCCGAGTGCGTGCGGTTTTATATGGCCCGAAGACATCAAGGTTGATGTGCTAGGTCAACATCTTGCTGGAACTGCGCAGAAGTACTACTGTCGACAAGTTGAGACTTGGTGGTCTGAGAGTGAAACCATATCACATGCAATGCAAAGGTTACTACAGACCTTTACGATCAAGATCACTCCTGCTCAGAGCATGAAGCTGTTCACCGCGGCCAGGTCATCTCAGCGTAACTAAACGAAACATTTTTTTGTACTTTACGGCCGAGAGTGACGCGTGTGGAGGCGCGGACACCTCGAGTTGGACAACATCGTGCACTATGCCGATCCGGCAATGCGCACGATTATGCTGTCGCGGCTGAGCTTGAACAGGGTCGACCACCTCAGACAGGCCAAAGAATTGGCTCAATTTGTACAATCAACGGAGATAAAAGTGGGTGTCAAGCATTTTGGTCGAGATGTCATGAGCGTCGTCGAGCCAAAAAAGGTTTCAAGGAAGCTCGATAATACTAAAAGCAACATGGGATTCAAGGCCCTAAAAGATGTTACATATGTGGCAAGACCGGACATCTGAAGGCAGCGTGTCCGAAGAAGATGCGGATTTTGTTTTGGTCGTTCAAGACTACCGTCATCGTTCGACAAGCCACTAGATGCTGGACAGCGGCTCAGGACGTCATTTGGTCAATGACTTAAATTTGCTTGACGATGCAGTCGATTGCAAGACCGAAATGCTTCACTGCTGCCTCGGACAGTGGTCCACTTCGGATAACCAAGAAGGGCAGCGTGGTCATTCTGGAAAGGCACTTGGCTCCACTAAGACGATTCGGCTTCTCGATGTTCAATAAGCATCCAACTTGGAACGTAAAATCATTTCTTTTGGAAATGTGGAGAAGAAGAAATGCGTCTTGAATATCGAGAAAAGAGACGTGTTATGGTTTCGTATACTGGTGTTGCACCCATGTTAGACGTTGCTCAAATCAACGATGTATTGATTGCTGAAGTTTTCGAAGTTTCTTCTCCGTGTGATTCTCACGGATTTAGATATTTACGGGACACGATCACGACAATCGTTGACGACACAATCATCAACGCAAACACAAATTCTCAGCATATACCTTTGTTCTATTTTCACCGATGCTTTAAACATCTCTCCTACAACACCATAGTCGAAATGGCTCGAGACCTCGCCTCTAGTATCAAAATGACCGATACCAAGCGTTCACTGCTTGGCCTGTGAAAAAGGCAAGCAAACAAAGAACCGACAATCTCGAATGGACAGTGGGCTGAATTCACTTATTGGCGTGATCGGGGGTGTGGTATGTTCGGACCTTAAAGGTCCTATATCACTCCGTGATCGTCTCGGAAATTGATAATTGGTTACTTTTTATTGACCATCGTTCGAACTATTGCAGAGTGTCCTAGCAAAGACCAAAGATGCCGCTGGATGCACTTTAAGCATTTCTTGGTGGCTTTCGAACGTCTATTTCATTACCGTATAAAAGTTCTACGTACAGACGGTGGAGGCGAGTACAGCCTCTGACTATGTTTTGTAAGGATGCCGGTGTATCTCGTCAAGTGAGCAAGCGCGACAACCAGGCTAGCAATGGAAAAGCTGATCGAATGCATCGCACCATCATGAACATGGTGCGAAGCATGGTATTTGCAAGTGGGTTGCTTCTAACGTTTCGAGGTGATGCAGCAGAATATCAACATACATCCTCAATCGAAGCCCGACCAAGGCAAATGTAGGTTATTTTTCACATATTAAGATGCTGACCAAAAAGAGACCCGTCTTAAGTGACATTGTGGTTCTCAGATCCCCTTGCACCATACATCGAACGAGTGCAAACAAGTCGCTGGGTGCTCAAGGGAAGCCGGCCATTATCATCGGCAATAACGATGAGATTTTCATACCGACGGAACGTGTTGTGGTGGTGACCCAACACGTAAAAAATGCGTAAAATCTGGCCAACGTGCAAAGCAGAGATATAAACAAGATTTCACATGGTACCGACGATCAGGAGGAGCACGGCTACAAGAATGTCACGAGCAACACAAAGACACACTCGTCAGAATGAACTCACGATCCACATATGACACGATCAAGACAGATTGATCAAGACGCTTTGACAATTGAAGACGGTGTCGCAATAGTGTCATTGTTACACGACAGCAAGGCATCAGAAACTTTGGCGAAGTCGTCCAAAATAACGTTGTTCGAGAGCTAGCCCCAAAGAACTACACTGATGCTCTACGAAGTGAAAGCAAGGACAATGGTTTGTGGCAATCAAGGACGAGCTGAAGGTACTGGAACAAAACGGTGTGTGGAAGGTCGTTGTTCCGCCGGAAAACGCGCACGTATTTCACAACAACTGGGTCTTCAAGGCAAAGACCGATGCCGATGGGAAGGTCGAACGATACACGGCCAGACTTGTCGCTTGAGAAAACGAACAATTGTTTGGAGACGACTACACTTTGACCTTTGTCGCAGCCATGGAACTCGGAGCTGTCATAATAATTTTAGTTCTCTCGCGCAAATAAAATTTTCGGGCACGACACGGCGATGTGCTAAATGCATGCGCAAAAATCCGATCAAGAAGAGTACCTCGACATCATCACGAAGATACTAAGTGGGATGAAAGTTCCTTAAGACATTAACTATCATGAAGTCACCGACATTTGACAGCTGGCGTTGTTGCTCAAGTAATCCCTGTACGGATTGAAGTAAGCTGAAAGATCGTGGATCAAGCTTCAACAAAACAAGTTGATCGAGTACAGCGCGCGATGGACATGTGCCTATACGCCGATCGATTGACCTAAGTGTAGCAGTTGTCGGTGTTTACGTCGAGGATTTGCTGGTGACTGGAACGTCAAGTGACATCGTTGGACAATTCTTTGTGGACATGGGGTCCCTCGAGATTAAGGATCTCGGGATTGTGAACAAGAGTTTTTAGGACTAAGAGTCAGATTGGATGACAGCGAAGGTTACGTCCTAGATCAAGAAGTTAACATCGACTTACTGTTCAAGGAACATGGACTAGATACATCCAATGGTGTACGATCGAAAAATTGGGGACGAATGCAATGTAGCCGTTCAGCAAGGGTCGGAGCTGTTGATGTCGACCTCCGAGGCCGGAGTCGCGAGTGTCAAGGCCTACCAATCACTCGTCGGGAGTTTGCTCTGGATTGCGCATTGCACGTGACCGGAAATTTGTTTCGCAGTGCATCGTGCAACTCGACATACGCACAAGCCGACGAACAAGGACTATAAGATGGCGAAGCGAGTTTCGAGATACCTGAAGGATATGAATACGTTAAATCTATGCGTCAACAGCACAAGTAAATAAACCGAAGCCATCAAGATTGAGAGCTGGAGCGATGCGAATTTTTGCCCTGGACAAGT